TTTACAATACTGGAACCATCAGAAGCAGGACCAGCTGCTCTGGACCTGAGCCCTTCCCTCTAAACAGGAACTTGGCTTCCCTAGGCAGAGGAGTATGTTGTTGGTTGTTTTTACTCTTTATCCTTTTGGGGGGCCTGCCACCCAACTCCCAAATAAATCACACAAAGAGCCTGATAGCCTGATTCTTTCTTATAAATGCCCGGCCTTAGCTTGGCTCGTTTCTTTCCATCTTTTCTTAACAATTATCCCATCTACCTTTTGCCACTGGGCTTTTACCTTTCTCTATTTCTGTATACCTTTCTTTCTTGCTCTGTGGCTTGCTGTGTAGCTGGGTGACTGGCCTCTGGAGTCCTCCTCCTTCTCTCGATCCTAGAGCTCCCTCCTTTTTTTCGTTTTCTCCTATTTATTCTCTCTGCCTGCCAACCCTGTCTACCCTTTCTCGTGCCTTACTATTGGATGTTCAGCTCTTTATTAGACCAATCAGGTGTTTTAGACAGGCAAAGTGACACAGTTTCACAGAGTTTAACAAACTTAACCTAAAAGAATGCAACACATCTTTGCATCATTAAAACAAATGTTCCACAGCATAAAAAAAAATGTAGTAATCTTAAAATAATATTCCACAACAGGAGTATGTGAAGCTTGACTTTCCAACTCTACTCAAGCATCAACCATCACTGTCCACAGGCAAACCAATAATAGATTCACTACAAGGTATTGACTCACACAACCATGAAACCTGGCAAACCCAGAATTTTTAGAGTACATGCCAGCAGACTGAAGATGCAGATACAGGAAGTGAAGTCTAAACTTTGCAAGGTGAGCCTGCTAACCAGGAACTTGGGCAATTTCTTTATTTCAGTCTGGAGGCAAAATGTCTTTTCTGGGAAACTTAAATCTTTGCTCTTAAGGCCTTCACCTAATTGGAAGGGACCCACTCACCTGCTGTTCTTTAAGTCACACATCTAAGAAATGATCACATCTAGAAAGAACAATCTTCACAGCAACACCTAAACTAGTCTTTTTAATCAAATAACAGTACCATAGTTTCACAGGGTGAACCCACATAATTAACTCTGGTTAGAGGCTGTTGGGAGACTCCCAACCCATCTTCTTACCTACTAAAATGGGCCTGGTGACAGTACTTGCCTATTGGGGTCTCATGATCAACAATACAATGAACATCAAGACAGTGTCTCCAAGTTAGAGGTGATTATTATACAGCTCCTCAAACATAAAACAGTTTGTTATATATTATAACGATAAAGGTGTTTTGTTTGCAATAATAGCAGACTATATTGCCCAGGCTGGTCTTGAACACCTGAGTTCAACTGACCTTCCCATCTTGGCCTCCAAAGTAGCAAAGACAGATGCAGGAGGACACTGTCTGGCTAAGACACCTTCCAAGGACTGGAAATGTAGCTAGGTGGCAGGGCCAAGTACTGGGTGGCAGAGTACTTGGCTAGCATGCACAGAGATCTGGTTGTAGCCCCCAGCAACACAGAAGATGGAAAAGGCAAGAGAGAAAGAAGGAAGGAAAAACAAGGTGCCGAAGAGATGGCTAAGTGGGTAGAGTACTTGCCATACAAGGGTGAAAACCTGAGGTCAGGTCTCCATAATGCACATCCTTATGTGCCAGATACAGTAGCATACGTCTGCAACCCCAGCATTTACACAGCAAGATGGGAGTTGGAGAGATGAGGCTCTCCAGATGTTCTGGCCTGGCATATGCTGCAGCAAATAACAAGAGACCTAGTTTCAAGCAAGGACCAATGCTGAAGGTTCCCACATATGCCACATATGCCATGTGTACACATGGGTGCACTCACAGGAACACATACATCACACACAAAAAGTTAAAAAAAAAAAAGTGAAAAAACAAGCCACCCATGGTGGCCTGTGCCTGTAATCCTAGCACTCAGTGGGCTCAGGCAGGAGGCTTGTGACTTTGAGGGCCAGCCTGAGCTACACAGTAAGACCCTAATTCAAAACCACAATGTGTGTGCCAGAACCATGGACTACAGCCTCCACTATGGTGGAGAATGTCACAGTACACTCTTCTTGGCGCCTCTGCTCTATCCTGCAGGAAAACCATTATGAGAGCTGCTGTCATGTGGGGTTAAGGGGTATTCATCCAGCACAGATGCCTTGCTGGGTGACATTTTAAGGCATGAAGATAAAGACCAGACTGTGAGGGGCATGTGGGAACCATGTCTGTTGGTAAGGAACTGTAACACTCAACGCCCTGTACACAAGACTCACTGAGCACTGGGCTCTAGGTTTGGGGGATTCAAATAAAGTAAATTGAGTTTACCAAGAGCAATGGATTCACTTTGGGCACATCTTTTCCTGAGGCTTTACTCCTCATCTGTTACCATGGAGACCGTTGAACTTTTGTCCTGGTATGAACTCTGGGCAATGCTGAGGCACAAAGTCACAGCCCAGCCTTCAACCAGAGGATCACACTGATTTCTTTCAGACATGGGTATTCTGTTTAAGACTTTATTGTCATACCAGATCATGACTACAAAAGATTAAAAGGTGGAGATGGTCAGGCATGGTCACACACACACACACACACACACACCCCTACCTTTAATCCCTGCAGACAGACTCATCATCTCTGGGTATGATGCTGGCCTAGTCTACATAATGGGTGCCAGGGCTACCTAGCAGGATCCTGTCTGTTAATGAAAACAACCACCACAAAGCACAGAGAAGGCCTTCTGGCTGGATGAACACAGCAGCTCAAATCTGAGCAAGCTGCAGAATGGCTTGGAGTCTTCTCTAATTGGGATGGGGCACAGAATCAGCATGTTTAGTTGGCTTCCTCATAATACAGATGTGAGAATTCTTCAGAGATGCAAGGAAAGATTAAATGTGCAAGGCCTGCCTCTTGTACTCAGAGGAGAATCCGCATGTGGACCCTGTGAGTTCTCAACTTCTGTTGTACTAGATATGGGAGTACACACCTTTAATCCCAGCCCTCAGGAGGCTGGTGAGTGGAGATCTTAAGAAACAAACCATAAAACCTACCTTGCTTCTATACAATATTTCTTTGTCTGAGCTGAGCTGTGTGAAGGGTGGAGACAGCCAGACTCCTTTTCCAAAGAGAACCACTTCCTTCTAGGCTCATACTACAAATGCCTGGTCCCTGACTACAAAGCTGTTTGATTTCTCTCATCTAGACTGTTCATACTTCATCCCTGTGAGATGGGTTCCTTGCCCATCATACCAGCAAATTGTAGCCAGGGTCACATTGGGTGCCAAGATAACATTTAGTAATTATCAAGAAACACAATTTGTTCCTGTAATTGAGGGTGTCTGCTCCTGGTGCCCAGTGGGTAGAGATTGGGGGTGCTTCTGAACATACTGCATGTAGAGGACAACCCCCAACCCCATGGCAAAGGATGAACCAACTGCAAATGGCCATATTCTGGAGTTGAGAAGCTTCCTTTACGTCTTGGCTTATGTTGCAAATAGAACTCTGCAGTGGCCTTTGGCATTTTCATTACTCCTGTATTTGCTTTAACCCACCTAACACACACTTGCTTATTTGCCTACTTGGTGTAACACTGATACCCTAAGCCAAAGCTTTGGAACTTTTCCACTTGTTGATCCCAAGCCCCTTTCACCCAAGAAATTTTTTTATGACCCAGGTATAAAGGGGTGTGGGTATTCCTTCCCCAAAAGGCAGCACCTGGAATACCTTACCCAGCAGAGATAAAAGCTTCCCCTTAGCCTCAAAGATGGAGCCTCCCTTCCCCAGTCTTCTAGGACATGGAGCCTCTAGCCCCTCCTACTGCAA